AAAACAAAACACAGTAGGACATAAAAGTGAATAAAAGTTTAAATACACAACAACTCTCTTTGGGGCTCTCTGGGTCTTTATTGCCTAGACCATCGCGCGATACCCTCAGGGAGGGAGGGATGGGACAAGAAAAGCTTACAATCGTGTTCAACGCATTAGCTAGCTAGAATCTCATAATGACTCACACGTGGCAGCAGCCTGTATATATACATGGGCTTGGCGCTGAACTTCCGTCACATGTATTTAATCCTGATAAACAGGTTTATTACTCACAATATTTAGAAGTCTTGAGACATAGTGGTAAATGATTACACCATTTGTGGGTCATTTTGTGACAGTTTAATAGTGGTCGATAATACAGACGTCGACTCTCTCTTAACGGACACCACTGTGAAACGGACACCTAGAGTTGGTCTCTGCCTTTGTTTATTCCCTTTATTTGACTCTTTATAATACGGACATCTCTCTAAGACGGACACTTAGTGCCGGTCCCAAAGGTGTCCGTCTTGGAGAGAGTTGACTGTATACAATGTGATTGTTGTTGCATCCAGTGACAATGAGTCGTCTCAAGTTACCTTACCACGCTTTTCGATCTGTGTGCCTGTGCCTTCCTGTGCCGGTAATTCGAGGTCTTACACGTTTTCTCACAATGGCTGAGGTTGCCGAGGTTGAAGACGGCGTGGTCATAATTGACTGTGGCGATTTTTATGAAGAGGGCGAAGGAGGCGAACATTATCGCAAGAAGAATAAGTTTAGATGTCGGGTTTCGAGAATTGAAAAACGCCTTGTAAAGTTAAAAGAGAAAATTTTCTAAGTTTGCCTCTTATCGGCGTGGCGTGTGAGACAGTCGAGATAGTTGACCCCTGAGATACTGACGTGCTAGACTAGACTCACTTATCAAAACTCGCACTAGACGTGCGTGGAAAGGGTTTTGGTTGGTTTGTTTTTTGTTTTTGTTTTCGCGCTTTCAAGAGTTATTTTTTATTGGAGTTAATAAGCGGTTGGGTAGACCTACCAAAAGGTTGAACGAATTTAATTTACTTTTCAGTGAAAATTTGCGAAAAATTTGCGAACTATCAAAAACTATAAGAGACATCTGGTGCATAAATGCCTCAGATAATTAAACGCGCTAGATGGAAGCAATCGTAAGTATGTGGAATCGATTATAAATGTGATTAAAATATGTGGTATTGATATTTCGACGATTTTCCACCTGGTATTTCGGTATTTACCATTTTTTCTTACGGTATTGCGGTATTGGGTAACCCCCAATGTCCCCCTCTTAAATGGAGGTGTTCGATATAACGAATTTAACGATTTAACGAACAAATTTCGCCAGTCCCTTGGCACCTCGTTAAATCGAGGTTCCACTGTATTGTGTTTAAAAGGTCATAATAAGGGGCCGACCATTTAACTCTTGAGGACGGGGGGTGGGTGATTTCTGGTCATCAAGAATTTTTTTTCCAGCAATCTGTTGGGCAGGATATCTTTTCCCCCTCTAAATGCTCTGCAGGATATTTTTTTCCCTCCTCATTTCTCTGCAGGATTTTTTTTCCTCAAAAAAGGGTCATGTGTTTACATATACAAAATGTATTTACATTTACATTGTGGTCATTGCAGTAATAGTTCTAATATGGAGCTGCAAAGCCTTAAAATGTTGTAAGCTATACAAAATCATTATTGTATGGCTATGTTTTCAGAAAGGCATTCTTTACACTCATTTTATATTACGTCAAAATAAAGTGATGCACCACAGGCAGATGTGAAAACGTTTAGTTTCTTTATCTATCAAAATTATTATTATATTATAGATATACCTTATTTGAAAATATAAAAACAGAGAAAAATATAGATACATGTTACTGTTATTTGTTTATTTACAGTTGACAATAGGAACGGTTTGGATCTGTTTCTTTTTATACTGAATATACATGTATACCGGTATTCAAAAAAATATATTTCTAATGTCACAGTTGCCTTGCATGTGACAATCAGTTGCAGTTTTCAGCCATGTTCATTGCTGCTGTTAATTTTTATCTTGCAGCACAATTTTTATTCATGAAATATACAGCTACTTTTTATGCCCCAACAGGGGGAGTGCGGAAATAGGTGGGGCATTTGACCTGTGAACTTTTTGTCCAAGGGAGGGGATGTTTTGAATAACAATTAAGGTTTGAAATGGCAGAGGGTGTGGAATTTGAAATTTATTGACCAAAAGTATTTGAAATCAATCGTCAATAGCCCCTGGGTATACCTGCACTCCCCCCATTGGGGCTAGACATTGATAGGTGCATTACTAAAACTTAAAAAAATATTATATTTATTAAAATAGAAAAAAGGCATTGCAAAAATATTATATTTAAATAGAAAATAATTACATAACAATGTTTCTGTTAAAAATGAAAAAAAATAACTTCCTTTGTCTATCAAAACTTGATTCTTTAATAAACCAATTTCCATTTATAATACTGTTTGTGATAAGCTAATAATGCATTGCACATATGAAGCAATAATTTTGCAGCATCATCAAATCCAGAGTTCAAAGGGAGCAAGGGAAGAGAATGGTTGCAGTTTTGCTGCGATTTTGTAAAGCCCCCCAGAATGATGAAATAGCTTTGCAACATTTTTTTTTCTTTCTTACAGCAGCGCAAGAATTTTTTTCTATATTACATTTGTGCTGCATGCAATTTTTTTCTTCCGACAAGCGCTTGCAGGAAACTTTTTTTCAAAACCCCCCCCCCCCCCGGCCCCTAAGGAAAGTTAGAAGTGGGGCCTTATATCCGGGGGGCTTACAATCGGATGTATGTTTTGATTACAAGAAGCGGGGCCTATACCTGGGGGAGGGGGGGGGGGCTTATAAGCGGCAGTTTATGTTATGATCCTTTCGTAGAAAAGTTGGCAAAAGGTTCAGTTCGTCTTTTACGACCGTTATTCAGTTGGTTTTACCAATAGAATTAAGAAATGTTTTAAACTAACGTCATGAAATAATTTATTTTTCCAGAAAAATGTTTTTTTACCACAACTTCAAAGACCACTCATAGCTAACCTTCGCGTTCTTTTAAATGCTTCCAGGCCAAAAAGACACCAAGAATCCGTACCCTTTTGGGAGTGAGAGGGTTTCAATCGCTAGCAGTCAATTGTGAATCACTTGGATATGTGATAAAGAAATTGGTAAAAAACAGCAATTCTGGTACATTATATTTTCCGTGTGACTTTAAGTTACGTAATCTGTTTCAGTGCAATGTAAAGTTATCAGCTAGAAAAGAGAGCCTGGTAGTTTTAACCTCATTTATTTCGGTTCTTTCACAAAGCAAACACTCCAAAACAGATAAACACGACAAGCACCTCGTATGTTGATGTTAACCAAAACTAGCTGGCAGCTATGAATTAGTTTCACTCTTGGTTTTTATACTAGATTCTTAAGGAAAACAAACACACACACCCACACACACACACACACTCGCTAATATGAGTTTCAGGCCTTAAGACGAAAAAGTGGGGCGAGAAAAGAGGAATAAAGGCCTGACACACCTACCTCCCCTTCCCTCTAGAAAAGCCCAGGCTAGTAAAAAGCATCAGCGGTTAGAAAATTCATTTTCTGGTCATTTGATCTGCTACTTTTAATGTTCTAGAAGGTTGTTTAGACCGATAGAAGTCAATTGGTACAACCCAGTGCAGGGGCGTAGCCAGCATTCTTGCATAGAGGGGTTCCCAATGTGGTATGTTTGTCTAGATTGACAATCGATCTTCGGAGGGTTTCCCCGGAAAATTTTAATACTTTATGTCCTCAGAAATTCCGTTTTGTGATTCTGAGCACACATTTCCAATAACAATGCCAAATGAGGTTAGCTTCTTTTCGCTTCCCATGAAGAGATAGTGTGGTAGACTTTATAATTTTTTATGTTGTAGATCGTAAATTTTTTTATCTCAGGTAATTTTTGTTTCCTTTTGTTTTGGGGTATAGAAATGTATACTAATGCAGTTGAAACAAAAGGAAAATAAAAATTACCTGAGACAAAAAATTAAGTACAACATATATGATGATAATCGTTGAATACATCAAAACACACACTGTAGTCCTGTGATTTGCCGTCTACTCAGTTAGGGTATTAAATAGCAAGAAGGAGACATCATGGATGCTTCCGTGCAAAGGTGTCGATTGTTGGACTTAGGGCCAATTTGCGTAATGCAATGTTCATCAGAGCAAGTTCAGCGAACTATCGCTTCAGTCACGGTCGCCGCCAAGTACTTTTTAAGTCTGCGCAAAGTGCTAAGCCATCGCTGACGTTCTGCTTATGTAATTTGTAATAACGTACTTGAAATAACGCAGCAACTTGAAGTCTGGAAAGAATTCATGGCCAAGCCGTCAACTGCACCACTAGAAAGGTCTTTTTTTCACGTTGAGCCACTTGCGCTGCCAAAGGAAAAACCGCCACACGAAAATTAGAGCCGATGGTATCCTAATAGACATCGATGTCTCGCTTTCGGAGCCTGATACTGAGTAGCTTTTGTGTGAGGAAAAGGCACTGCATCGTGGTAACCTGGGTGGCATATGATGAATTCATAACTGAATACTCTGTGTTTTATAGGCAGTTTGTCGTGGTGTCATTGTTAGTGTCCCAGTTTCAGACAATTTCCTCGGACTGATTTGCAAACATAAACGCTGATTTCATTCTACCTTCTCACTTTTATGCCTCTACCGAGTTTCTATTAAGCCCTCTCATAGTCAAACCATCACAACTTGCATTTGAAAGCAATCGAGACCAACAAAGGTGCTGAATCCCACATTGCAGGCTTGTATACACAGGGGCCTCCCAAGAAGAGGGGTGGGGTATCCGGAACCCCTGGAACTCTCCCCTGGCTACGCCACTGCGGTGAAACGTTTTTCCGTTTTCCCAGTAGTAGCTGTAATTGATTCTCTTTTTTCCTATTGTAGTAGTTGTAATTGAGTCTTTACTATTAATTTTTTTTTAGATGTTGGACGACTTTGAAGTTTGAGTATGGCATCTGTTTTGCAGAAGGTTCAAACGCATGATGACCGAGTGCATGGATTTCGAAAAGTGAAGGTTACTATTTTGGCATCTGAATGGGGATCAAGTAATGGGGGACTTTCCACCATAAACAGAGAATTAGCCATTCAGTTGGCCAAGTTTCCGGAAGTGGAAATCACTTTCTTTTTACCAAAATGCAGTCAAGAGGAGAAAAACGTAGCCCTTGATCACAAAGTAAAGATCGTAGAGGCAACTCCACTACCGTGTTTTGAACAGCTTGATTGGCTTTGCTTTCCACCAGACGATTTGGAAATCGACATAGTTGTTGGTCATGGAGTTAAACTTGGTAAGCAAGCGCAGGTCATTAAGAAATCTAAAAGGTGCAAATGGATTCAGGTGGTGCACACAGACCCTGAGGAACTTGGGATGTTTAAGAGCTATTCCCGCCCAATTTCAAAGGGTGAAGAAAAGCACAAGAACGAAGTAGAACTTTGTGAAATGGCTGATCATGTTGTACGAATTGGACCCAAGTTGAGTGAGGCCTTTCGCTCGTATCTTTCTGGTTGTGATAAAGATGGTAATGTCTTTGACCTCACTCCTGGAGTATTTGAAGAGTTTGAGACTGTAAAGCAAGTTAGTCATAGCGATAGGCAGCAACGCAGAGTCTTGGTGTTTGGTCGTGGAGACGTAGAAGATTTTGAGTTAAAGGGATTTGACATCGCTGGGAAAGCGATTGCTGCATTGAAAGATTCTCGTCTTGTGTTTGTTGGGGCACGGGATGGAAAACACGAAGAAATAGCAAAGCGGTTAATCGAGTGTGGTGTTCCTGCAAGTCGATTGAACGTAAAAGGATTTGTTCAAGACCGAGAGGGTTTAAAGCGCTTATTCCAACAAGCGGATCTTGCAGTCATGCCTTCAAGAACAGAGGGCTTTGGACTGACAGGAGTCGAGGCAATGTCAGCTGGTCTCCCAGTGCTCGTCAGTGGCAATTCTGGCTTTGGAGAAGCACTTCGCAGTGCAGCTTTTGGTTCATCATTTGTGATTGACTCAGATGACGCTGCAGTCTGGACCGTGGCCATTCAAAAGATCTTGTCCAAGGACAGGGAATGCCGACTTGAGGAAGCAGTGACCTTGCGTGATTTCTATGGCAGGAAATACAACTGGGCCAAACAGATGAAAGAGTTAGTTGACAGGATGATCTGCCTGACTTATGGTAGGAATGTCAATTATATTTTCTTCAGTGGCGCATTATCAGGAAACAATAGAAGGAAAAATGAAAAACACGCAAATAGGATCGCTTACAAGTTTTGCCCTGAAGTCTTGATTAAAATGTTCACAATGCCTATCTGAACCTTTCGCTCATAAGAGCAAGACTGTAACGTTTGTAATTTCTTTATTGTTTTCAGCGGAATGGTCTGTGGAGAGCGGTTGTCATAGTCTTCGGTCATAGTCTTTATTTGCAGTACCGTTTCACATATTTAATCATAGTTATACACACATGATCCCCGCAATAGCATGTTTTCTCCATTTTGTTGCAACAGAAGATTCTCTAAAGGTCCGGAGCTCATTAGAAACAGAGTGCAACGCTTCTGAGAGGATGGAGGACATGACTGAGGACCTTGAAGGTATCTTCGTAAACAGCATGCGTATAGAAATCATTTTTGTCTATTTTTAACCAAGTGGGAGAAGGGCAGGAGGCGCGCGAGAGCGAACAAAAAATAGGAACGGGGAGAGAAACAAAACGCCAGTCGCTGAGCTTCTATCCCAGGAATACACAACCTAATATATGCCCAACAAACTTCCGCCCCGGGGAGAAATGACCTGGAATTGACTGAGCTTTAAGGTTCAGAGAGAGATTATAATTGTAACCAAAGCTTGTTTTTGCAAAGCCTTCTATAGAAATTGACAACAGCCAAAGAACAAACTCTTATCACGACGAGCAGCTTGTTTCAGAAACGCCCCTTAGTAGTGACCGTGAATTGAAAGCTGATGCGGCATCAGGAAATCCAACTAAAATATCCACGAATTCAGACTCTCAGTCTCAAACTAGCCGTAAGCGTAAAATGTCAGAATTCTCTTGTAATCCAGGTATGCAAAAACTTGAGTTGTTTTTCTTGCTATTGCTCACTAGTACACTTCCACATCTAAAGGGGGGAAGTGATTGTTAGATTACTCAAAGGTGCTTTTTCCTACACGGACTTGTTTTCGTTTACGCTCATACTATAGAAGTGTATTATTGGTAATAGTAAACCTTATGTAGCGCTGATATCAGTGGACGCCTGATAGGCGCCATTTTCATCAGCAGTAACAAAAAAGGTTTTAAGTAAATATTAAATATATAAAAGATATAAATATGTTGAACACTAAAATTAGAAAAATTACTTTCGTACTAAAGCTGTACTAACTGCATAAAACTTACTAAAAACGAGTAAAAACGTTACATCAAATTGCCATAAAAGCTTTCTGGAATGAAAATGGCTCGAGGACCTTCTTAAAAATCAGGGGCACCCAACGACTGTTTTCTGTAAAATACCTTTTCGGAGAAGTAAATATTGCCTAGAATTTTCTATTGTTTGAATATGGCTAATAATTTCTAGATGAACGTTCCATTCAGGTAATTTGCAAAATTCCCAATGATTTTCTGAAGTTTAATTTTTCATATTTCACTCCTTATGTTAGGCTAATTTTCGTAGAAAAAGGAAACCTAAAATTCTCGGACTCAAAAATGTGATGGAGAGAGGAATGAGAAAAATCAAACTTTTCGGGAAAATAACACTGTAGCCCTTGAAATTTCAAAAAGCCTCAGATTCCCGTAGGATGACCGAACAGATACAAATTTTATAGCGCCACTTAGGAGGAAACCTTCGTTGGTTGCCCCCTGAAAACTGGCAACTGAGGGGCTTCTCCATATCGCAAAATGAAACAAATTCCAAAGTTTTGGAATAGCAACAGCAAAAGAGCGATCTCCCAACGTGGTTTAAGTCCTGAATTCTCCGCTATGCCATTAAAAATAGCTTAGTGACAAATATTTTCAAAAATATATGCAAACAAATTCCCAATTTTGCTAATTGTATCTTTCATCGAATTGCTATAAACAGTAACATTTCTTAGACATTCAAGTATGTGTCTAATATTGTGAATCTGTGATATCGCCCTAAAGTTCCCTTGTGGAGGCTTGGATGAGTTTGTTAATGCTCTTTGGCTATGGTGAATTTGCTTGAGTAGACATTCTTTAATAATGAATACCTTGACAAGAGCCGTCTCTTAAATGCAGGTACTTCAACTGAGGATAGCGGAATCTTTTTGAAGCAGCATATGCCCTCCAAGATGGCTAGTCATGAAGGTGCATCTTCCCGGGGAAAGGAACCTCTTAACAGCTGGAGTTTGCAAAACATTGCAGGATCAACTTCTAGTATAGGTAAATGGAACAAGCTAATTATTTTGATAGTTTGGTGCAGTAGTAATGAAGGTTCAGGAATAGTGTTTTTCTTAAAAGATGGCCCACCTGGATGTCAAGGGGCAAAAACTTCAAAGTTTTAGCATTTAACAATGATATTAAAAAAAAAAGTCACCCCGTTATACCTCGTTCTTTCGGACACTTTCCTTGTCCCTGGGTAAAGCCCTTACATTTTCTTTAAATTCTCGTAATACAACTGTATAACCGAGTAGGAACCGTTTTGGAATGTAATGTTAAAATGGATCTACTTTATAGTACTTTAAAAAGTTATAATGTTAGTTTTTACCATCGAATTTACTCTGAATTGCTATAATTGCTTCTTGAGCTTAAATCTTTTGTGCTCACCTTTTAAAATTGTATTGGGAGTTGTCAAAGTGGATTTAAAGGCATGGAAAGATCTGTGATGTGTAGAATAAGGGTCTCCACCACATTTAAGGGTCACAGTTGTCTACATGGGACGTGGTTTCACACGGCTGGTTATGGGTGGTGGAAATGTGAACGAGTTACTAAAACATATGTATACAGTATTTTCTAAGAAGCTTATAATAAAGGCTTGATCTATATACTGCTCGGTACTGAGACATTGTTCAGATCCGGGAATACTGGGTATTGTAAATTGATTATTAACTATAGAGGTCGCTTTTTCGCAAATTTGTTAATACAACGGACACATTTCCCCAGTCCCTTGGCACTTCGATAAACTGTGGTTCTACTGTAATCACCGCCTGTTTTCGCTCAATTTTTGTTTCACAGAAGCGGATTCTTTAAAGGCTGTGAGCTCCTTGGAAAAAAGAATGACAGCGGACCATAAAGGTATTGTGGAAGACTTGTAATCAATGAAATCGAGGATGATGTTGCCTATGAACGAGTGTTCAGAGGCAAAAAGGGATTCTGTGCAGTACATACATGTGTACATGCATAAGTACACATACGTTTCAACACGTAATTGATACATGTATAAGGTGTGGTTTAAACGTTAGACTTCACATTTGCAGAACTGAATGCATAAACTATTTTACTATTAAATATAGCAGTACACGGTGCTCCTCCTTATTATTTATCGAGCCATCTGGTAAGTATAATTAAAACATATTCACTATATGATCAATCATCATCTACACGCTACCTCGTTGTTTAAAAGTTTTAATGTTTTTTACCTATGTTTAGACTGAGGAAGTCGAAATTGTGAAATTACTCAATAAAAAGTTCCCATCCTCTTGGCAGACCTTTGATGAAAACTTTCCACATCCTGGAAACTCACAATGTGATAATGCTTACCCTGTCCAGGGAGTAAAGGGCACACTTGGAACTGACTGAGCCTTATGTTTCAATAAAATTATTTTTTGTAACCGTGGCTTGTTTTCGCAGAGCCTTTTATGGAAAATGACAGTAAGCCAAGAATGTACTCCCCTGTCGGCGAGAAGCTCGTTTCAGAAACGTCTGCTGATAGTAACTGTGAGAAGAAAGCTGAAGCTGCATCAGGAAATCGAACTAAAATATTCACGGCCTCTCAGTCACAAAACAGCCGTAAGCGTAAAAATTCAGAATCTTCTGGTGATCCAGGTAACTATAACCTGATTTGCTTTCCTTGCTATTGCCTACTAGTACATTTATAAAGGGTATTACCCAAAGGTACTTTTTTTTTCACAGAATCTGTTATCGTTACACTATAGTAGTGTAATTCATTACCCACTTTAATTATCAATTGAGGTTTAACACCAGGTTTTATCCTGCGTTCGAAAATGCTTCAAATCTGGTAGACTTACAAAACAGCCGACGTGTCACTACCGTGACAAATCATCAGTATGGAATTTCTGTGCTCGTTCTGTTCCTCAGTCGTCATCTCGTAGAGAAACGAGTGCTGACATCGCGAAATGTCGGCTGTTTTCTCAGGTTACAAATCTGAAGACCAATGCAAGGTATTAGGGAGCTTAAGCAAACAACGACGACGACGGCTACGAAAACGTCACTTAAAAAGTGAATACTCGCTGCTTCAAACTTTATCGCGCTTATTCCATCTCGTTCAATTCGTCAGATGTTGGTGAATTTTTCTGGAGATCAATTTTAAAGGACTGTATCAAAGTTCAGAAAAAGAATAAGGAAGTCGTTGTCTGGTGTTCAGGTTCTCTGCAAAACGTGAAATAATTAGGCAGTTTCACGTCGTAGTCGTGCAACGACGGCAAAGAAATGTACAAAAAGCGTGATGCACGTGCAATGTTGGTGTTTTGCCAATCTAAGCCTATTGTTTTTTGCCGTTCTTGTTGCCGTCATCGTCGTCGTCTTTGCATAAGCTCCCTATTAACTTTCGAACGATGTATAGTAGTATAGAATAGGTTTCTTGCGATATTTTGGGTTTCGTTAATAGATAAATTTATTTCTCGGGGCGTTTGTTTGTTTGTTTGTTTTTTTCAGAAATTATTACGAAGCACTTTTTTCAAGAATAAATGATGAACAGAGCAAAATAGTCCATGAAACTCTCCAACGACAAATACTAGTGTACTTCCAACATCGTACAATTGCAACCTCAGAGGGAGTGTCTGGCCTGATTGAATATATAAAGAAGACGCACAACGTGGCCTTGGAATCTGTGGGTTTGGGATCTCTAGAAATAACGTTTCGGTGCACTTCCTTGGGGAGCCTTGAAAGTTTGTGGAGTGACTATCAGTCTGGTCACCTTAATGATATTGCTGAGAGATACCTTGTGACTGATGACATAAAGAGGAAACTGGACTTGGAGAGTATCAGGTTAAAAACAATTATCGAAGAAGAAAACTACCGGATTTGCAAGCGGATTTTAATGGAAAAATCATGTGAGTTTGAAAGCTCTTTGTAAGCTATTGACTTACTTTGGCTTACGTTCGGCCAACATTGACTGGTTATCTTTTCTGCTGCAAACCTGATTACGTTGCTCTTTGTTTCTTACGACTTTGTTACATTTTCACAGCAGCAATATGGCTGCATTATTGTAAGGATGGTCAGCTTATCGAGCGCATATGGTTACTTTCCTAAAAACGTTTTCTCAAACAGACAGAAAAATGATAGTGCATTAAAACAATTAATCGACATACGATAATCTTTAATAACAGAAGTAAAATAGATATATTGTGGCCATAAAATGAGCAGTGTTTAAAGGTGTCTCTTTGTTGAAGTTTCGCTGTTTAGAAGCAGTGCAGTCATTTATCAGCCTATGTACAGCCCCCGTCTTCTCGGGAAAAAAATCGGAGCTTTCCTTATTTTTTCTTGAGGGGAGAGGGTGGCTATACACAGGCTATAAATTTATTTTTTGTGGTCATTTTCGGGGAAAGTACATTCCGGACAGATGAACTTAATGCATATTTGTTATCTCTTTCTCTGTTAGCAGTTAGCACTGACTTTTCTCCTTCAACTGAATCAGATCAAGAAGCAGCTTTACTAGCGGCTGACACGAGCTTAGATGTTTCTAAGGTAGGCCGCTTTGTACTTGTGATTAAACATGAAACAGGTGAAGATCAAGATGAAAAAGAAGTCGAGGGGCGCGTCTAGGCCGTGTTTTAAACAACAGTTACTTAAGTGCTGATGAAGAGATTTTGGTCGTATCCTTGATTTCAGTGTATTGTGTGGGGTTGCACTCTGTATTTTAATGACGGTCCAGTCAATTCTGCAGAAACAACAACTTTTAACTAGTTGGAATTCAGAGTGCGCTGATATAACGACAAGATTAAGTTTAGAGGCAAGTAGTCTTCTTAACACTCGATTTTTTGCCACTCTTATGTGTAAGGTGTGTGAATACACTAAGAAATGTTATGGCAGTCATAAGTGAATCTTTCTTTTGCAAATACAAGTGCTCCGCCATAAAGGACTTTCAGTTTTAATGATCTGTTCATGTTGTCCTTAAGCAGCATAATTAAAAAATATAAAACTGTTCTAATGAGGCTTTAAAAAAGTAAAATCCAAAATCCAAGGGAAAATATTCCGCGCGCGCTATAGATATATGCAAAGATCAAAGGTATAGGTGAAATGTGTAAAAGATGTGACGTATGTATGAAAGTCATAGAAATATACCGTAAATGGAATACAACGCTAGTAATGATGGAATGTCTCTAGACAAAGGACCTCTAAAAGTGCTTAAGAATGGTCTTTAAAATACTAAAATAGAAGGTCTGCGAATTCACTGCATTCCTTCCATGAGAGTGAGTGTAGGCTGACAAATTAGTATCTTGGGGCAAGACATGGCAAATACAGCCGGTTTAATGTGACTAAATGTCATACGATGAGGATGTCTAGGAAGAAGGAACCTGTGTTGATGGATTATTACATCGATGATCAAACGCTGTCTCCCGTGAAGACACAAAGCGTTCAGCTTATGTAACCATTGTGAGACCAAATTTGGAGTATGCTACTGCTGTCTGGGATCCATACAGACATAAACAGATTGATTCAATTGAAGCAGTCCAGCGGCGTGCAGCCAGATTTATTAAAAGAGACAAAAACAGAACGTCTTCCGTTACAGAAATGCTACAGTCATTAGATTTAGATCTTTTAGAGGATAGACGTAAAGCCCATCGATTGAATATATTTTATTTAGCAGTTAATAATTCGATTGCACTGCCTATACCTAATTATTTTTCACCTAAACAGCGTTTTACTAGATCATTTTCTAATGATTCATTTATTCAAGCCAACTGCAATCATGATTATTACTTTTATCGTTTCTTTCCAAGGACAGTAAGGGGCTGGAACTCTCTACCAAGTGGCATTTGTACTAGTACAAATTTCTCATTATTTAAAGATCACTGTTTCACAGCTGTTAGAAATGATTGATCGCTGTCATTTATTTATATTTTTTTATTATTATTTATCTTATTTATTTATATATATATATATATATATATATATATATATATATATATATATATATATTATATTTATAAAGAATGTCTTCATGTCTATTTTTATTTCATCTTTAGTCTATTATTGTATTTCTGATTTTGTAATTTATGTAATTTATATTGACTTGATGCGAAAGCGTTGTCAATTAATAAATGTAGATGTAGATGTAGGCTTGCACTTTCTAATGTAAAATGCTTCATGAGGGCGTAGATTAGCGGGGTCGTTTTCGCTCGTAATAATCTTGACCACCTCAATGCCTTTATAGTCTTTGTTTGGCAGGAATATACTTTCAGTTTATACCCACTTTGTTATTGGTCCTAGAATAAGAAGCAGTTCCTAACCCATATGGAGAGAGCTGAGAAGGCAAAAGTAAGTTTGCTGAGTTCCTTTTAGCCAAACTTTTTTCGGAGATAGACAATCCGGAAGGTTGGATTGTCGTGGTAGGCAGAACAAAAATCTTAAACAAGATAGATCCATACGGTAGTTGGCTGCTGCACTGATCTCCTTCGCAATGTCCTCGCAACGCTTTTGATTTTTTCCGCTAATTGAAGCGTTTTCTCGTAGAACAATGGAAGGGAAAGTACCCCTTTGACTAGTAGCGGTTCATATTGGGACCCGTCAAATTGAAATTATCTGGAATTTGAACCAAACAATCTCAGACAAACAACTACGAAACATCAAATGCTGAGAGATGAACATTTTACGGTGAGAGAATCGCCAAGCGTTTTCATTTGCGGATCTTGAGTTACACGGTACCATATGAGTTTAATATACTACAGCTTTTAAGTGGCATAGGACAATGGAGGAGTATGAATAACGTTTGCTTGTTTATCGATCACCTGATGAACGAGTACATTCAAGTTTGCGATTAAAAGGCAGTGTCGTTGAATGAAACAAAAATCTGAAACGAGATTCAGATACCAATCTGAACGATTCAGGTGCCAAATCCGGATTTAGATAGGTGAAATGGAGCACCGCAACGCAAGTGTAGTGTTCTCTCTTTGTTGATTTAAGCAAAGCAAAATATATTTTAAAAACGTCACTTGCTGGAAGGATTGAAAATGGCATATTTTTGACGACTTAAAAATAAATCAAACCCGGCAGAGTGCAGTATTGAATCATTATCTCTAACATGAATTAAGATACAGACTGTAAAGTTATTAGTACGGAGATACATTTACGCCGGGATAGTTAGACCCAAAAGACAGGGTGAACCATTATAACATAGTAGATAACCCGGTGTTAGGTATTTGGACTGATGGATTTGGTTGTTATCAACAGGGTTTTCAAGAGAGGGTGTACCCTCTTGGGATTAAGTGATCCTTTACATTTATATTTACTCAGATAAAAGTTATTTTTTAAAAAAATAGGCATCGAGAGGCTTCCTACACAAGGCTGCAATCAAGGGACAGTACGAGACGGTCAAAATGCTTCTTGAAAGTGGTGAAGATGTGGATCAAAAAGATCAGGTTTTTGTCTTCCTCTGTCTTTGTAAATCTAATGCTTGTGGATTCTTATGCACTTGTTTCTTGCTTTTGTAGATTACGAGCAGGAGCTTGTGTTTGGGTTTGCGCCATCTTTCCGGCTGGCGGCGATTAGAAGCTATAGCCTGCACGAAAGCCTTTGAGTATAATTGTATTCCTTGCCTTCATGAACGAACACAGCATTCTGATTGGCCGGTAGTGACAAATCGTTGACAACAGGACAGGAAAACCACAAAATTCTGTTTTAGCGTATATTCTTTAAAACAGACTCTTAACGTCTTTACTTTTTATAATCCAGTACTTGCTGATAGTCTCAGCACGTACTCGGGTTAGCTTTCATTTTCTGTGTCTTTTTAAAAATAGGCACGAAAAAGTCCTCTGTAAGACTTCAGGCAATTTTCTTCCAAAGTACTCCATTAAACAAGAGTAAACCGTTTACCCCTAAGATGCAGTATTTAAGGCCATGTTCTTTACCCGAGTGTTTTGCTTTCGATGTCTGATAGTGTTTCCTCTTAAATTCATGGGAAAGAGCAAAATATTAAAGTTCTTAATGTTGTAACTGGTTTGAACCCATGAATCCTGTCATTAGTAGGTCGAGTAAGTGTAGCTCTGAATGGAACTGCTGACCACACTGACATTTTCACAACCTGTGCAGAAGTCTATATATAAGAGTCAAGGAAAATTCTGATAATCGCTTCGACACAGGTTGTAGCAAACGTCAACTTCTGTCACTAACAGACCTATTCGGTACTTCACTCACCCAGACGATCATATTCAAACTACTTTAATAATGTTATATGTTGTAGTTAATTTTTTATCTCACTTAATTTTTGTTTTTCTTTTGTTTATGGTAATGTACGCTAATGAAGTTGAAACATAAGAAAAATAAAAATTACCTGAGCTGAAAAATTAACTACAACATATACGAGTCTGTAACGATGAAAAGTTAAGGGGACTTTGGGCTTGGGGGGAAGTGATCCGCCGTGAAAAGGAAAAGGTAAAAGTCCTTATTTTACGTCGGTAGCTCAAAATAGACATCTGACCAACTAACCTGAGGCCGACGGCGCGCTCATTTACTCCGCCCCCCTCCCCTCCCCCCAGCAGCAATGTTCTGAACGTAAACAGATAGCCTTGTTCCACCAATTCCTAATGGAAAGTGGCCTGTAAACGTTCCATTTGGTCTCAGTTTTAATGTTGCACTTGGCCCCCTCCTTGTAAAATGAAGAAAATAAATTTAGTCCAGTAACAGCCTGCCCGTTCTCACCCTTTTCTAATTGCTTTTTTTCTTCCTATTTCTTTAGTTTTCTTTGACTCCTCTTCATCTTGCCTGTTGGTATGGACAGGAATCGATTGTCATACTGTTGTTAGAACATGGTGCAAACGTCAAAGCTAAAGACAAGGTGAGATAGTGAACGTTTTTTTTTTTACATTAAACAATATAGTGCCGAGAGAGGAGTGAGGCAAGGGAAGTTGTTGTTGCATGTGAATCTCTTACGGTGGCAAGATAAATTAAATTTAACGACTGCGTTGATATAACTGCTATTTTATCTTTGTGTCCTTACCGTGTTACATTTACTTTCAATAGTACGTTCCTAATTTGTTAGTTTTTTTGTTGTGCTTCTACACTAGTTGTTTTTATTTGTTATTCATGAAAAAATTGGGCTATAATAAATCATTTAATTAAAAAATTGAAAAAACCTTAGAAGGCAGAAAGTCTAGTTTCGCAAACTTTTAACTGTGACCGTAAGATTTCCTCTGCTGAATTGAAGGTTTCGTTGCGCAGGCAAAGGAAATTGCTCTTATTCGCTCTAGGGACCGGCCTAAGTAAGACACAGTGTAATCGTGAAGACGGGGCTTGCATGAATTGGATTACACCTGTAACTGTTACTCCGGCCGTTACCATGTGAGGGAAATCTGAGGGAAACTAGACTTTTCTATACTGTTTCTGACTACCAATTACCCTTCCTATAATTTACAACCACACCGTGGACTAGTCGTCCCCGAACAGTATGAGAGTGCTTTAACGTCCAGCAGAAGTTACCATATGTGCAAGAATGGTGAGACGGAGCTTACGGTTTATCGTCCTTATCCGAGGAGACTAGAAAGTATTAAGGAGACGAATGGCACAGCATATTTCAAATATTTCTTCCTATAATTTCAGTAAACGAAGGTCCCTTAAATGTCCGCTAAATGCAGGTTTCCTTTTTTTTAGGATAATGAACAGTTCTTTGTGAACTGTGAAAGGTTTGAACCCAGGAGTCATTTCAAAAGGTTGAGTTTGATCGTCCGGGTGAACGTAGTCCTGAATAGGACTGTTGTTGTTGACAGTGACTGACGTTTCGACAACCTGTGCGGTAGTCATCTTCAGAGTCAAAGTGAGTTGTATCACGTCAGTTGATGGTATTATACTCTGGTTATTGATCTGATTGGTCAATTATGTCGCGATGTTATTGGTCGTCTGTCAGTTAAGCCGTGATGTTATTGGCTATGAAGACTGGTAATCAGTGATTGGTGCGTTTCGATCCGTCTATTGTCGCAGTTAAACAGTCGTCTATTGTTAGTCAAATTGTTAGTTCTCCAGTTGTTCTCTCGTAGTTAGTTTTGCTTGATCTCGTCAATAAGTCGTTTGTACGGCGCTGGTAACTGTTCACTACGATTCAGTGAGGTTTGTTCTAAGTTAGTAAACCAGCTTTCTAAAGTAAGACGTTGATAGTAGTCTGTAGAATACGTTATACATGTCGCAGAGTCCCAGTCAATTTGATGTTTCGTCTTTAAATGGTGCTCAGCAATGTGATTGTTGACGTCACCATTCCTCGTCGCGCGTTTGTGTTCGGTCAGTCGCGTGCTTAGGTTTCTGCCGGTTTCACCAATGTAAGAAGCCTGGCAGTCGCAGCATTTGATCTTGTATACTGCTCCCTGTCTGTCCTCCGGTTTGTCTTTGTCCTTGACATTAGTAAGCAGTCGCCGTAAAGTGGTTATCAATTACAACACGGACTTTGTTAGACGGAACACTCACAGTAACACTGATTCTAACTCCCAGACCAACTCTGGCCCTGTTACGACAGCGACTATACCGTACATCAGAGGCACCTCTGAAACTATTACACGTATATTACAACCTTACAATATACGTGTTGCGCACAAACTGATAATCAACAATCACATTGCTGAGCACCATTTAAAGACGAAACATCAAATTGACTGGGACTCTGCGACATGTATAACGTATTCTACAGACCACTATCAACGTCTTACTTTAGGAAGCTGGTTTACTAACTTAGAACAAACCTCACTGAATGGTAGTGAACAGTTACCAGCGCCGTACAAACGACTTATTGACGAGATCAAGCAAAACTAACTACGAGAGAACAACTGGAGAACTAACAATTTGACTAACAATAGACGACTGTTTAACTGCGACAATAGACGGATCGAAACGCACCAATCACTGATTACCAGTCTTCATAGCCAATAACATCACGGCTTAACTGACAGACGACCAATAACATCGCGACATAATTGACCAATCAGATCAATAACCCGAGTATAATACCATCAACTGACGTGATACAACTCACTTTGACTCTGAAGTTGACTACCGCACAGGTTGTCGAAACGTCAGTCACTGTCAACAACAACAGTCCTATTCAGGACTACGTTCACCCGGACGATCAAACTCAACCTTTTGAACAGTTCTTTATTGCAATGCCTCATGTAGACGTACCGCTAGTTAGAATATTTCTTCTTGGTAAATAACAAGTGGTAAGTAACACGAATTACAGTACGTACTCTGCTTGTTATGGTTTTAGTTTCAGCGTACACCTCTGCAAAAAGCTGAACGTCAAGAAAATCATTCCATAGTACAGTTGCTGTTAAAGAATGATCCTACGCCAAGTCTTCTTCAACCAGTAAGATATCAAACTGCATGTCCCCCCCTACTGTGAGCTTACTGTAAAACGAATCCATTAATAGCGGACACCTGTAAAGGTCGCGTGTGTGTCCAACACAGTTTTCATCGTACATGATATTTCTTGGTTATTGATGTCCATGGTTCTGGCGTTGGGTCTTATACACGTGCGCTCTCTGAATGGTTTAGGACACACCAGGGATGCGGTTTAATATGCTGCAATCGCATGGAGGGAAGAAAACTTCATTACTGTTTGGGAAGTGCATTTCAACTTAACAAGCAAATCCTTACCCCCATCGTTGTTTTAAGGGCAAGACAGTTACATCCCCCCACCTCCAATTGGCTTTTTTCTGTGTTGCAGGATTTGCCAAAAGCTAAACTGAAATGTATTATATAGCCAGGGGTTAGCTTTTCAATGTAATCGAGATATCATGGAGTGTGACTGGCGCTGTGGGGACCCAGTAGTTTCATTCAAATAACTCCTCATTAATAGCCACCATCTTAATCCTGTTCTCCAAAATCACCTGAAACATTTGTTCACAATGATTTGTTCAACATTGTTTAGAAGGGTGGAGGAGGAATCCAGAAAGTCTTGATTTCAAAACCTTTCCCCATCTGTCAGCTAAAAATTCTAACATCAATTTTGTCGCCAGTTGGAGCTATTTTCAATTTTCATACTTTTAGTCTTAACTCAGTATCATTACTGTCAAACTCGGAAAAGCTAGAGAATTAGGAATATTTTGGAAATGTTCATTGTCTTATGATCAGTCCCATTAAGGGATTAATTAGCGAGCTTCAAACAACAAAATAGTTACCGTTGCTGCATGCTGCTTACTTCTCCCTCACTTCGGTGGCTTCTTTCCCCTTGACACAATAACATTCCAGAAATAATTTTGGTGTTGATAGTTTTCCAGGAACAACAATAATTAACATTTTAACGCTCGAGTTTCTATTTAAATACTAGCGCGTTTGCCGTTTCTGAATTAGTGATAATTTTAAACAAAATGTATATTGTAACCATAGTAGCCAACCACCACATTTTGTGTAAAATGTGTCCATTTGCATCAAGAGTATAGTAAAGCCCAGTTAATCTATTATCTGCAATAAGAATAACGGGAAAGTAGTGCTAAATGAATTCCCTCTTTTTTATTTGCACTCAAAAACATGATCATTCTTGTCATAGGTAAGTCTAAAGAAACTTTCAAGAAAAGCTTTCTTGCAAGTGGATAAACAATCTGGATTTAATCTGCTCCAGGCGGCTGTCTTAGAGGGAAAATACGACATTGTTCTAAAAGCTAATGGCCTTCTTGAGAATTTTTTAGAAGAGATGGAACATAGAAAAACGGGAAATAACGCCAAAGAATTTCCAGGGAAAACTGCGGTTGACATCTTATCATTTGTGTTGGAAACAAAATCAAGCCATTATAGTATCGAAAGATTTTATAAAAATTTGTCTGAGAACAACAGCAGACTGAATGAGCTGCAGTGGGGTACATGCAATGACGATGTGGAACAGGCGGTGGAGTTTGTATTAAGTGACGGTGTAGATATTAATGCCCGAGCGTCAGACAATGATTACACAGCTTTGTTGTGGGCGAGTTCTTCATCCTCAAGTCAGTTCATTGAGACCCTCATTGATCTAGGGGCCGACGTTAATGCCCAAAGGAAAGATGAGAAAGTTACACCTTTAATATTAGCAATTGAATGGAACATTTACATGGCAGCGTGCTTGCCTTTAAGGCATGGAGCTGATGTAGATGTCCAGGGTGGTGATGGGTTCACACCACTGCACTTTGCAGTTAGTAAAGGTCACGAAAACCTATGTAGATTGTTACTTGAACACAACGCGGATGTAAATATTCGAGATAAAGATGGAGATACTCCCTTGCACCTGTGTGTCAGAGAGGGTAACGAAAGCCTCTGTAGATTGTTACTTGAACACAACGCGAATGTACATTTTCGAGATAAAGATGGAAATACACCCTTGCACCTGTGTGTCAGAGAGCGTAACGAAAACCTCTGTACATTGTTACTTGAACACAACGCGAATGTAAATTTTGGAGATAAACATGGAGATACACCCTTGCACTGGTGTGTCAGAAAGGGTAACGAAAACCTCTGTAGATTGTTACTTGAACACAACGCGAATGTAAATTTTGGAGGTAAAGATGGAGATACACCCTTGCACCTGTGTGTCAGAGAGGGTAACGAAAACCTCTCTAGATTGTTGCTTGAACACAACGCGAATGTAAATTTTTTTGATAAAGATGGAGATACACCCTTCCACCTATGTGTCAGAGAGGGTAACGAAAACCTCTGTAGATTGTTACTTGAACACAACGCGAATGCAAATTTTCGAGATAAAGATGGAAATACACCCTTGCACCTGTGTGTCAGAGAGCGTAACGAAAACCTCTGTAGATTGTTACTTGAACACAACGCGAAAGTAAATTTTGGAGATAAACATGGAGATACACCCTTGCACTGGTGTGTCAGAAAGGGTGACGAAAACCTCTGTAGATTGTTACTTGAACACAACGCGAATGTAAATTTTCGAGATAAAGATGGAGATACACCCTTGCACCTGTGTGTCAGGGAGGGTAACGAAAACCTCTCTAGATTGTTGCTTGAACACAACGCGATGCAGCGACATACTAAGTTTGAACTGAGTTCTGCGCAAAAAGCTATCGAAACAAAATATACAACAGGTGTCGCTTCCGTTCAAGGTGCAGTAAAACTCAAGTCTAATCTCCAAAGGGAGAAAACACTGGGGCAAAACCCCTCGTATACGCATACAACATTGAAAACAGTGGAACTGTGGGAAACCCCCAAAGGAACAATTAGAGAACCGGAAGCTAAACAAGTGAAGACACTGGCAGTGCGACACCCCAAATCAAAGGCGACTACATCCTCAAGAACAAATAAATGAGTAATGGCTTAAATATGAAGATTTTTTTCAGAGTTGTGTTTTTGAGAAAAGGCCCGGGTGTTAAGTCCATAAAAGATAAGAGTTTACTCTTATTGAGCTAACGTTAAACTAGTTTGTACAAAATTAATATAACAAAAATGAGGAGAGTAACTGTAATCCTCAACGTTAATTTCAAAATTGTAAAATCGACGCTGTAACAAGTGCCGTTTAGCCGACGTTTTGGCAATGCTGCCAAAAGTTCGTAATAGGGCACGTGAGCTACGTAATTTAATGAACTTTTCAACGGGAAACTATTTAATGGTGTTTATTCGTTTTGTACCCCGAAGAAGGCAGCATTGCCGAAACGTCGGTTAAAACTCTTGTAACAGAGGACGTACTTTGAATTTCAAATGTGTAGTGTAGATCGGTTTTAAGAAAAGTCAACTCTCTTCATATATCGGACACTATAGGGAACTCTGCTTAGTCTTGGTCGGCCTTACTAGTGAGAATCTGTAATAACGGGAGTTTATTTTAGTCCGACATCTGTAATTTATTTTTGCATGGGATTTAGTTGCTCTCCGTATTATCGGGGTGTCTGTTATTGCGGGAGTCTACAAGGCTAGAGTTGACTTATAAGAATTTTTGAAAGTAATTATCATCAAATTTTAAAATTATAACATGGAATATTCGCCTAACTGATTCTATTGTTATTCGATAGCTTCAGTGTGCTTCATATTCCAGTTGGGCACGCTGGTAACGTCAACAAACTGCTGCTTCGAGTTCTTATGGGCTTAGTAATCCTCCCAAGTGCATCCATGACTCAACAGTACACGATGAAGCGTTTAAGATCTTGTCTTAGATGTCTCAAATGATCGCGTCATTGAGAGGTGACACGAAGCCATTAGCCTTGTTTCCTTCATCCTTTCATATCAATTGGAAGGGACAACGTAAAAGAACCTACATTGATATCCGAAAAGAGTAGAGAAAGCAGAATCCACCGGTGGTCTGCCTGTGTACAGACCCCCCTCCCCTCAGGAAAAATCGGATTTATAGTGCTCCAAGAGGAAAGCAAATTCGTAACCCACCGATCACTCCACCTTCACGTAGTCTAACATCTAAGGCGCTTTTTCCAAAAAGTTTTATTTTCGGGGATTTTATATACAGCTATTAAAGTTGACACAGAGAAACGATGCACGAAATAATAAGTTAACCGAACAAAAACAAAGCCGTTTTTATTTTTTTAAAAACACTAAGAACTTTTGGAGTAGGCTTTCCCGAAGTTTAACTCTCAACAGTGAAGCAGCAACCCTACTTTTTCAATTACTTTGCTTAGCGTTTTCAAATCTCACTTAAAATCGTTTGACCGCCGGGAAATCACCCTCCCCTCCCCTCGTCACACGTTGCAGCTGTAGCTAAAGTTCAAAGCTGAAAGTCTTCGTTCGTGGCAGGCGAAGTCGAGTATCGATGTTATGGTTCAATTTTATCCTTGGTTTAAATTTTATTTTCCTTTGTTCTAAACTCATTATCGTACATTACCATGCATCAAAACAAAGGAAAATAAAATCTAAACCAAGGATAAAATTGAACCACAACATCCACACTTTTATCCTCTATTGGCACTCAAGGGACTTCCGAGGATATTTAGAATAGATGAATAAAGTAATTAGAATCAAATTAAAATTTAACTTTGGTGCTCCGTCGGTGGTGGGGATTTGCTTTCATCAACTGAGTAGATGAATTCAATATCACCGTAAGGAGATTTTAAAGCTAACGTTTGGAGCCCAGTTTATCGAAGCAAAGGAATTATCGGCTGTGTGTGGTATAACAAGAACAGTAGACCTTATTCACGATACCCGCCATCTTTGCACGCGCTCTAAGATCGATGGGATAAAAGCTATGTCACGTGGTATTTCAGGGGGCAAACAAGTGATAAAATTTGTCAATACGAGTAATCGCGGTCGAGTTTGTTTATTCTATCAAACGAGACGACGATTTCAGTATCCAAAGTGTTGGCAAGATTTACGTCATTACTGTTTGCCATGAGGACATTTACGGTCGCTTCTGAATATTGTAAAGTAACAATGAATAAGGTAGATTTAGGTGAACGAAGAGCAGTCATTTACTACATAGAGACTAAGAATAATGATTTTCATAAGATGAATTGTTGCTCTTGATTTATGCGACTTTTCATGGCCGGGGGGGGGGGTACTTTCTATGATGGCCTATATGGGGAGGCTCCCCAAGAAAGGGTTACCTTTTTCAGGCTTCAGGTATGTAAAGGGTCGGGAAATCTGTCATTTGGGTCTGTAAAAGGGCCCAAAAAAGCTATGGCTTGAAAACGTCTGGAAACCCTCTATTTTCTGATTGATTCCTATTTAAAAGACAGTGCATTTACAGCGGTTAAAAGGAAGAGGTACCTTTTTCGTGAAAAATGGTATATAAATGGTAAGGGGTTGGTCCTCAGTGCGGAGCCTCCCCGTATAAACATTTCTTGAGTAACCCTCCCCCCCGGGTTTTCGTTTTGCACTGAATTGCGAGGTATAGACCTCTTTAGCTTGTATGTTTTGTATTCCCGCACACAGAGGTCCCAGGGGAACTTGACACTTTGTCTTTTTGTGCGTACATATGCACGTGAACAAGACCAAATTTAAAAGAAACAGTTCTCAAGAGAATTATCGCATGACCTGTATTGCAAAAACAAAACATACAGGCTAAAGAGGTCTATTTGAGAGGTTAAGCATCAAGTGACGTCGAACGGTAAACGTAAATTTGTACCACGTGACCAAGTTTTCCCTTTGCAGTGTACTTGTCGTTTACTGTTCATTATTTCAACACATAAATAAGTAGTTTCGCGCAATTTTTTATTCATAATAATTGTTTTGAGCTCTTTTATTTCGCTCATTTTATTTTTCAACCTGAATCTGATGTTTGCTGTATACGTGAAGCTTAGAAACTCTCTGAATACACACAGAAGAAAAAGGGAAGCAGTCTACAAACACTCCATTGCGACGGATTTTTTCTAACTACGAGGTATATTTTTAATACGAAAAAATTGTCTTAACTGATCTCATGCTATTATCGTCAGGCTAGACTCATCATAAAGGAAGATTTTTTTTTTCAATTATTGTAGAAATTTTAGGATACAATGCGGATCCCGAGACACGCCAGGATGCAACGGAACTTGAATGGGGTGGCATTCTTTCCCAAGAAGTGAAAGAGGAGAATTTTGCAAGTGTGACGAGTTTTGCAAGAGTTTGGTGTTTAGACTCGGATGAAGTTTGATATACTCATTGTGTAAAACGTTAGCACAACTGCAAACTTCTTGAATTATAGAACAACTTTTTTTATGCGTTTTTCGTGTGACTATTAAACGCACGCGCACCGCATCGCATCAAGTTTTACAGCACACAACTCAGTATGCTTTTTTATGGTTGAATCAGCAAGCGGGAAAGACGAATCTTAAGAATCCAGACATTGGTGATATCAAACACAAATGGGAATATTTTCAATTGCTGGAGCCTTTTTAGACCAGGAGCCCTCGAAGACGGATTTATTGAACTTTAGGTGAATTTTTCAGACAGAATTTGTAAGGGTGGGTGTTTTATATAGAGAGAAAACCGTTTACATAAAAACCCATAAAACGGCTATAAATCGGCCGTGGACCACACAGGAGAGACGTAACACACATTTTAAGTAAGGTAAGCTGTTTTGTATTGAAATCCTTTCATTTTCGTAGGTTACACAAACTATAGGTTTTTTTCCCATACAAATCCTAAAATTTTGAATGTCTCGCAACAATGGCGATGCTCGCCGATGCTCATATTTCGAGCTTGGGCTGCCTGTGGTACAAAGAGATCAACAGCGCTTCGATCGTAGCCTGCGAACGGCAGACGTTTCTCCTCGCTCATCGCCGCTGAGGGACGTTTCGCGAGGAGGAACGTCTGCGACTCAGCGACAGAAATTCCATACTGATGACGCAAAATCTGTCCAGAATCCGGTCAGAAGCGCTAATTGGTCGACGGAGTAATTTCATTGTTTTAGCCATTGTTTGCGAATGACAGACAAAAAACAAAAGGCCCCAAAGGTCAAATGTAAACGTGATGAATCTCTAACAAAGCAGCCAATATTTTTGGAATATAGTCTTCTCTAGAAGAAGCATTTGAGTTTAGGTGGAGATCATTCACAGATGAACACCACACTTTACCAAAATCGACCAGGAGAAATGTAAAATTGAACAAATTTGCATTTGAAACCCCATGACTACCGGATTTATTATGTAAACATTGATTCACGTCATCAGTATGGAATTTCTGTCGCTGAGTCGCAGACGTTACTCCTCGCAAAACGTCCCTCAGCGGCGATGAGCGAGAAGAAACGTCTGCCGTTCGCAGGCTACTTCGATCGCCGACAGGAATTTTCGCTTTTCCCTCTCCCCAGTTCCCCGCTTGACCAAGGGCCTGTTCACAGGCTCCCCAGGACATCTGTCGGGGCATTTCATTTGGCATACATGAGTAGATTCCTGAGACTAACTAAATGATGGCGGTGTCAGTCAGAGTTGGAAGGTATTGATTCCATGAGTCAGATTAAAGGAGATATTACTGGAAGAACATCGAAAGAAAGATACGAACAGCTGATCTTGGAGCTTTAGCAGGGTAAGAATCGCCTTTTTGTTCCATAAGGTATCCTCTCACTGATAAATCTACAGGAAATTTTGTTGATCCGTTATTATGAGATCACTCTCGTGTCTAGATACCCGGCAGCCGGGAGCTGTTTTCAAAAAACTAGATACCCGGCAGTCAGAAATTTTGGCCAATTTTCTCGAAATAGCTCGTTTAATTCCTCTAAGAACAAAAGATATTTGTTTAGAAATCTCAAGCGATTATAAATATTGCCTTGGGTTAAAAGTAGAAGCGACTGTCGGGCTTGGGCATAGAGTAAAATCTCAATGTTTTCGACACTTAGAAAATATTCAAGTTCTGACACACTAGGTCAACTGCCGATGAGTATCCACAGAAATTATAAACGAAACCTCACCAGAGTATTTAGTGTTTGCTCAGAAATTATTTCCACCTAAAATGTTTGTGAACTGTTCTTTATAGTAACTGCATATATAACGTTAACCACCATTAACCGAGATGGATTAGTGTAAATGTTAATGTTCATGAGGATCAACTCAATGCACTTCTGGCTTTAAAGGCCTCCACTAGTGAGCTAACATTTTAGAAAAAAAAAACAGCTTTGTTATTATTCAGGTGCATTCAACGGGAGCCAGATCATTTCGGCATATGACTCGCTTCCCCCCTTCCTCCAGATTGAACTGATTCACCTACATGTACTGTTCAAGGGAGGGTTTATCTTGTGAGTTGCCACTATTGAAAAGTTATTTCATGTAATGTCTAATGACATAAGTTGGGATAACCAAACATTTCTCGCTTGGTAGGTGGATTCTTTCATTAACTTTTTTCAGCTCCAAATTTTTTATTTGTTTCTTTATTTTTTTTTCATTTCCCAAAGAATACAGTATAAAGGGTTGGCGGGGGTTCAGGGGCTGGGGCCTGGAGGTGTCAGTCTTTTGTGAGGGGCAACCTGTAGGGGCTCAGTTGTCCTTGGTTCAGTATGTTTGTTTAAAAAAACAATTAAACCCAGCTGATGCATTCTTTTAGTAAAAGATCAATTTATTCACAGGAGACAATTAGTACATCCTAATAACTATTATTTGTCAACATGAACACGCAAACTTGCCTACCATCATTGTAACTCATGTACTGCACAACTACTCCTGGTTGTTCAAAAGATGGATTATGTTATTCACTGGATTGAGTTTAGTTGCAATTTGCACTATCCATTGGATAACATTCTGTCTGGATGGATATGGCATTATCCACCTCTTGAACAACTGGTGCCTGCAGTAAACAATAATGGAACATCACACATGGAAAGAGGGGTGTGTGTTTGAGGTGGTTACACCTGTATAGTATAGTAAATAATAATGGAACAATATCACAGGTGGAAAGAGAGGTGTGTGTACTTCAGGTGGTTACACCTTGTATAGTATATAATTGTATGAATCCACCTTTTGAACACCCTTCGGTTTCCTTAAAACATATCTCCTGGTAGCCTGAATTTCATTTTATTTCTCTGATTCGTTTTCTCCTCTCAGCAACATCTGAATTGACCAGCCGTTAATGCTGTCCAGTGATGTCACTACTACCCGAAAACCGGGTAGTGATTTTGATTGGTTTATTGTCTCAACATTCGCATAATTATGTATAATTATGGGAAAGTTTTGCGGGATTTTTGCTTGATAGTCAGCGGATTGCATCGATGGCATGCTTGCATGGAGTTCAAACATCTCAATAATCTTTATCGTAAACAGCAAAATTGCCCTTGTCTTGGAAACTGAATTTCTAAATTGAACTGCGAATAAGGAATCATTGTGGAGAGTCCGTAGGTTTTTCATTTAGAGCCGCTTTGTGGTTTCCGCAGTGATTTTGTTAATGCAAAGTTTCTGAGACCAATGTCATGTTGTCATTCGACCTTCTTGCTATTTACGGTCAAATGTAATGATTCTGTTAGCTTTTCTTTCTTGTTTCCGTGTTTTCTTTTTTCTTTGTTAAGGACCAAATAGCATCTTTTCAATTAAAGGAAATTGTTGTGTTGTGGAACTAAGTGTTCCATCTGCGTATTTATTTCATTGCGTGATTGTGACCGAGTTTGAATTACAACAGGTTCAGAGTATTGCATACAGTTGATAGTTTGAACGTTAAATATAAATTGCAATCAAAAAGGGTAAAGCAATTCTGTCAGCTGTTCTGTATCATGTAGACATTTGAAATTAAATTAATGATATTTCTTGGTTTGCCACTTGAAAATCGTGTTTTACTTTTTGCATGAATTAAAGCAAAGGAGTATAGTGACATCACTGGATGGCATTAACAGCCGGTCGATTGAGATGTTACTGAGGGAGTAATAATGACTCAAAGTAATCGGATGAAATTTAGACTAATCTACTGGATTGTTGCATTGATTTGGTGTATAACACTATCAGACAGGTCTTTGAACAACCTTGGCCTACAGCTTGTTACAAGCACTCCACAGCCTTACTGACATGGGCAACTCTTTGCTGTTTATTAGTATGCCTTATGATAGTTTTTGCTGATAAGGAAGCTTGAGGGAACTGTAAGTAACCTAACTCAATAGCTCTTTTTCACTGCGGAAAATCCAGGAAATGATATCTTACAAAAATGTAAATTAAAAATAGTTATCAACAATATCAGGTATTTACTGCCCTCAGTTGGGCTGAAAATTGCATTTCAGAGCTTCTTAATTTCAAAAGGGTCTATGTGCAAGCATGCCTTCAGGCACCCAAGATTGAAAAGGCTGTGCGACCTTACAATTAATTTTCATTCCCCTCTGCCTGTTCCACCATATTGGCAGCCACATAAATGTACACATGTATAAAGCCGGAAACCACAGCAAAGGCACAAACATGCAGTACAGTCATTGTTACTTTAAATCCTATGATATTATGAAAATGACTAAAAACTATCTGCTTTAATTTTCTGCCACCACCTCTCTCAGACAAAATAATTTCCTAATAAGAGAAAAAAAAAATCAGCATCCATGCAGATCAACATACAACTACAACTGATTTTTTTATCAAATCAATCCAGCTTGTCAGACACTTACTTCTCTCAGTTAACATGTCAGCCAGACTATTGAAAGATGCTTGCCCATTGTCCTACCCTTGGGTTCGTCTACGTTGCTACCATTTCTGCATGTGCATTTTCATGAAGCTGTGAATTGGTTCCCCCATGTATAGATAGCAACAACTCCCTCCCTACAAACTGAGTGAAGAAAATGTGCCCACATGGTTATGAGTGGTAGTCTGAAATGTCATCGTCTCTTTGTCATCACCCCCACCCCTAAAACGGGGAGCCAGGCAAGAGTCTGGCTTTAGTTTATTGGGAAATTCAGTCTCCACCCTTGATTTAGATCACTCAAGTTCATGGCCAATTAATTAATATGAAAATCTGAGGGAATTATATTAGGAACTAGTTTTATCACAAGATGTAAAGCATTTTAAGTATAGAGTAGTGATATCTTTACTGCAATTAATTGCAATTAATTAATTTATTATTAAAGAGTTTAACTTAACTTAACTTTATTATTACATATCACACACTAGGAAAATACATGAGAACAACCAAAGTCAGGCACTTAAGGTGGCTCCGTCAGTAATACTGGAGCTTTTAGCAGTGACAAATTTTCTCTCTTAACTTTTTCGTTTATAACATGATGGCTGCAAAACTTTGCAAAGAACAACAGAAGTCATTCGGTAATAATGTGAAATATTCTGATTTCATTGATGGTAAATATTTCTTGAGAAACTACCCCTTAAAAGGACCCTACTGTTCAAAGAAAATCGCATCTAGTAAAAAAATTTGCTGATATTTTTTACTGAAATTTCTGGTATCGGCTTTTATTGAATATGCCAGAGGAATTTCAGAAAAATCGTTGGAGCAGAAGTCCATAACTAATAGTCACTCAAAATTCAGCTGCGAAATTGTTTTGGAATTTCAAAAATAAATTACTATCAGGTAGAAGGAGCCAGCAGCTTGAATTTTCGGGACAAGTAAATTCTGTGTTTGCTAATTCTTTAAACAAAAGCCGATTGCCTATCGTGTTATTCTTCAAAAGGTACTTTTCTAGTTTTAAAAGCACTATAAAGTACTGCAAACCTTGCTCTGATTTCGAATGACTTGTTCCTCAACATTTTCAAAATATCCCTTGGCAGTTTTGGCTCAAACTCCTGCTATTTATATTTATATTTAATTAGCTTTGAAGCACATTTCAGTGTTTGCATAGAAAATGTGCTTTACAAATAATGGAGATGATGATTATTATGTCTTGATAATTATTCTAATTTATTATTAGAAGATAAAACGACCTCTGCCTAAATACAACACTGACAGTAGAGAGCCACATGTTATCTGATAATGTGTGGTCAGCAGTGTGATTGTACCGTGAAAGCAATGATAACCAGATTCTGCTAAACCTCAAATGTTCAGAATTAAAAAAATTGGTTGATTTTGTGATGAAACTCACACCTACATCAAGTATTAGGACTAATTGTTACTACTAGGACAGTCATTTTAATTTCTTATTTTTCCCTTCATCAGCCATGGCTGCCTCATCCAGTCCTCCTGAGACTGTGAAAGCAGAATGCAGTCTGGACAATCCAAAGGTTCATTCTTTTTTCTTAAGTCTTTTTAGAAATAGCTATATTTTATACCTGTTACACTATAATTATACAGTGTCATTTCATGGTCTTTGAAAAGAACTTTATGATTATTTGGTAATGTGTCCCAAAAAGAAACATTAAAAGTCACCAGATGCTGTGTAAAAACTGCTTTCATAAAGAAAACGGAAAACTACATGCGATGGTGTGATCATGTCCTTTTGGTGCCTGGGTGTGGTGAAAATAAGGAATGCAGTGGACATTTCATTTGGGGAATTTGTTTGTTTGAGTACCAGTAATAATAAAATTTGAAAATATTATATTGTTGATATGCCTAATTAATTCCTATTTTTTTTGTTTTTTTCTAAAGACACTGTAATAACAACTGTATGTGTTACTGTGGTGTGAAATTGGAGTGAAAATTTGGCTATTCTATCCCTAGTTTACAATTTATGTACTAACAGTTGACAGTTCCCAAACCTGCTATGTTTTTCGGTCTTTTATGTCCTTACTTTTCACTTTTATTGCTATTGTTTTTGTAGGCTTGCTATTCTGAGACCAGTGATCCAGTGTTGTATGTTACTCTTCTTGGTGGTGAGTGGGGTTCATCTGCTGGTGGGTTGTCAACAATAAACAGAGAGCTTGCTATTCACCTTTCAAATCATTCAGCGGTGAAGGTTTCTTTGCTTGTCCCAGAGGGAGCTTGTAACACTGAAGAAGTAAGAGAAGCAGGTGGCTATGGAATCACCATTGTTGAGGCAAAAGAACGTGCAGCATATGATCGTCTTGATTGGTTGAGCATCCCACCCCAGGACCATTTCATGGACATCGTTGTTGGCCACGGTGTAAAACTTGGTAGACAAGTACAATTCATTAGAGACTCTGCTCGATTTCCAAATTGTAAGTGGGTACAAGTGGTGCATACTGCTCCAGAGGACCTTAGCAGATACAAATGCTACACTGACCCCATTTCAAAAGGTGAAACAAAACACGAATCAGAAGTTGAACTTTGCAAACTTGCTGATCTTGTTGTACCTGTTGGACCCAGACTGAAAGAAGCCTACACGTCATATTTACAGCGATGCAAGACAGCTGATCGGGACGTTTTGACCATTACTCCAGGCCTTTTTCAAAGGGAGTTTGGGGATTTAGTTGCAAAACAAGATCCTAACGAGGATGGTGAATTCAAAGTGTTGTTATTTGGTCGAGGGGATGATGAGGACTTTGAACTCAAAGGATACAACATTGCTGCTCAAGCATTTACTGATCAACGGCTAAAAAACAAACCTTATCATCTAATCTTTGTTGGAGCACCTGATGGAAAGCAAGAAGAGATTAGACAAAAACTTCTTCAGCATGGTATTGCAGAAGCACAGTTGACTGTTAGAAAATTTATACAAAGTAGAGACAGACTGAAAGATTTGCTGTGTGAAGCTGACCTTGTAATAATGCCATCAAAATCCGAGGGATTTGGTCTTGTTGCACTTGAAGCCTTGTCTGCAGGCCTACCTATTCTTGTTGGTAGTAAGTCGGGAATTGCCAAAGCATTAGAAAATGTTCCTAATGGTTATTCATGCATCGTCTCTTTTGATGATCCTGCAAAATGGGCAGAATCAATAGAAGCTGTTCGTGTCAGACATCGAATGCGCCTTGAAGAGGTTAAAGCACTCAAAGCGTCATATGGAGAGATGTACAGTTGGAAGGAACAATGCGGAGAGTTTGTGCAGAGAATGTGGAAAAAGGTCAATGGTAAGAGGTGCTGTTGTGAAACTCATAAAACTAGAGTGTATAAACATGAAAAATATTTACTGAACGCCATAGACTGTTGCAAGGAAACAGCCAATTAGGCTTGAGAAAATGAGAAACTAGTGTGTGGGTTTGACATTTGCTTGTCGGTTTCTTGAACAATTTAATCTCGTACCCAGATCTCTTGTCAACAAAAAGATCTGGGTACAAGGTTATGAACAATAATTATTGTAAATGGTCGACTGATTGGTCACTACGCAATCGATTTCATGAAGTATTTCAGGTGTACTTGTTTTTCTCAGCTCACAAGCAATTAGTTCTGACAAACTGATTTTATATTTTAGTGTTTTAGCACTGTTATGGTTATGTAGTTTTTTACATGGTGGCTATAAGGGGCACTGCAGTCTGTAATTATGCACCCTTTGAAATATAGTGTCATTTATTCATTCATAGTAAACATTAATAGTACTTTTACAACATAAAGTGATACAAATGAATAGAATTTTTCAGTCTTTGGTGCTGGGGACTAAAAAGCTAATTATTTCTTTGACCATTCGAGGTACTAATTGTCTGCAAATTAATAAGTATTATGCGTGAATGTTCTGTTATAGCCTGTTCCAGGCTCTCAGATAGTGGGGAAGACGCGAAAGTAAAAGGCACGCGAAAAGTTGGCGGGTCAAAAAAGAGGAAAAGGAAGGGAGCCGCCCTTCCTCTCCCCAGTTTCCTCCCGTTTTACTTTCGTCTTCGCGCTTTTGCAATTCAGCGGGCCCTACTATTTCGGAGCCTGGAACAAGCTAGTTCTATTATGAAAAGTATAGCTGATGAAATACGTAGGCAGTCCACTGTGCAGCGTGAATCCTAAAGCACTTGCCATTCAAGCACGCCTAGTGGATTTTAACTGAGTTTAGAACAACCCTTAACTTTCTCTTGTTATTATTATTATTATTATTATTAATTATTATTATTAATAGAAATTTGTACCGCGCAGTTTCTGTGAAAATATTCAACTGTGCTCTTCAGCAAAAAGGAACTTTCAACTTTGCACCCTCGAAATAAAAGTATTGTTGTAACCAATCAACAGGGTCATCCGAAAACGGCAACAAACGAAGAATCAAAGCGGCACTTGTTGCAGAAAGTTTTCTTGGTAAAAGTGCTGAAAAGAAAGATCCTTTTGCTGCAGGAGGTCAAACTGAAATATTTCAGTCTCAAAGTGGGCGTAAGCGTAAAATTTCCGGACCTTCCTCTTATCCAGGTATACAATTATGTAAACATATTAATTTTGACAGTTTTGCTTTCTCCTTCTTCTTTCTTGTAGTGCATGAGCAAAAGGGTAGGGTTTTTTTCAGGTCACAGAATGGAGGCACCTTTTCCTACACGGAGCAGGTTTTACCGTTTAAGTTTAAGCAGTGAAAAAATTGATTTGAGTGATTGAAACTAACCTACTGTCATGTTACCCGAATTAGTGCAGCGTTTTAATAGGTGTTTTCATGGCAAGAAAATAAAATATTGCAAGAAGAATACGTACCTTCTCAGTGTTGCTATCTTTTACTTTCAGACATTGTTACCAGGCACTGTTACCAGGACCTGAGTGATGAACAGGAGAAAATAATTCATGAAATTCTGACAAGACAAATACAAGCTTACACAAAATATCGTAGAGTTTCAACTCAAGATGGAGTGTCTGCGCTGTGCGAACATATTCAAGATGCGTACAACTTGGCCTTGAGATCTGTCGGCGTGGGATCTCTCGAAATAAAATTTCAGTGCACCTCCCTTGAGAGCATTGAAAGTTTGTGGAGCGATTATCAGTCTGGTCACCTTAATGATATTGCTGAGAGATACCTCGTGACTGATGACATAAAGAAGAAGCTGAACTTGAAGAATGTCAGGTTGGAGACAACTATTGAAGAAGAAAACTACCGGATTTGTAAGGAGATTCTAACGGAAAAATCATGTAAGCCTGAACGCTCTTTATTAGAAACTGACTTCAGTTCAAGCTAAAACAATTCAACGCTAAAATCAAATCGAACCTGAAAATGCAATTTGCTTACTGAAGGCCACAATTTCCAGGTTACCTTTTCTACTTTTTGTCTTGAAACCCTGATAAAAAATGCTGTTTTTTTTGTTATGACCTTTGATGAGTTTCTACAACAGCTATCTTAGATCAAAAGAGATAGAGTTCAATTGCAATGGGCGGAGATGTCTTGTTATTACTTTCCTGAAATTGTTTGCAATAAATTGACAGTGAATGAGAAATTACTTGACTTACGATAAAAATTCACGACAAAGAAGCATTAAAAATGGTCTGTTGACAGTGTATAATTGCTCTCAGCCGAGCAAGTAAAACAGGTGAATGTTTGTAGAAGGTTTTCACTTTTTATGTTGAGTACAGTAATTTAACCTGCTGCGATTTTTTAAAAAAAAACAGTACATTTATACTAGATATATTTAACAGTGATTTCTCTTTTTCAGCCGAATCAAATCAAGAGACAGCTTCACTACTGATTGACAAAAGCCCGGATAAATGTGAGGTAGGCCGTTTTGTACTTAGGATTAAAATTGAAAACAACAGTAGTGTACTATGTTGTTTTAATGCCTTGTTGGTGCGTTCCCTTTGCGTTCCGTGTGCTTTTCCTTCTATTAAGATGCTTAAGGGTCGAGACCATGACGTCCCCCATTATTATAACCTAGAGAAAAAGTGCGTTCCTCCATATCTAATGGTCACCTTTCTTGTACAATAGGAACAATAGACATGCCTAGACTTGCCCGGTCTCTTTTAACCCTGATTGGTTGATGTAGAATCTATTATGTGTTCGAAATAAGGCGCGCTCTCCATTCAGCATTTTATTCTTGCAAGTTAAGTTTGCTAGGAAAAAAGTCTTACTATCACCAAAATTTTTTAAACATTGCTTCAAACATGCAAGTCGAATCGAGCGCTACACCTTTGTTGAGGGTTGATGAAGTAGAAAAAGTCCCGCGTTAAAAGATAGCCAGATCAGACATGTGTTCCACCTTACTTATACGGCTTTGATTGACAAACTCATTCAACAAGTCAAGCTGAATCGCTGCCACGGCTGCTCAAAAAGACAGCAAAAAACGCCATTTTAAGCGCCTTGTTTCCTGTACGTGCCTGCGAAACGCTTCGAGTTATCCCTTGCAACAATTGCTCATTTTTTTAACAATGAAGTACATGAGACATCTTTATCCTGTGAGTATACTTCTTTACGCGGCGTTTGTCAATAGATTATACGAGTTAATAAGCCCACATTTGCATACAAATTGGCTCTACAGTGAAAGCCCCTTGACTTACTGTTATAAAAACACAAAAAAATAAAAAATATATAGGAATTATCAATTGAAACACACGACTAATAAACGCTCGCAATAAATCCAGACACGAGATACCGTTTTTAATGGAACAGCGGAGACAGACTAGCTAAGTAAGTGCCATTCTAAGCAAAGTAAAAATAAGTGCCATAAAATAAAGATTGATATTTTGGATCCAAAGTTTTTGTCCAACCAACATGGATTTCATTATCCGGCATAGCTCCGCGACTCCATAATTTATTCAATTGGATCCAACGTTTTATTGCTGAGATCCAAAGTTCTTGCTATGTATCCAAAGTTAATACTCCGGATCCAATGTCTTTACTCAGGATCCAAGGTTATTACCCTGGATTCAAAGTTATCACTGCGGATCCAAAGTTATTTCCGCGGATCAAAAGTTATTACTCCGGATCCAAAGTTATTACGCCGGATCCAAGGTTTTTACTTCATATCCAATCCAATTTAAAATGTCGATACCGGAATTTGAAGAAGTGATATCCAGTTCACCGTTCAACATGGCGGGTGCTCAAGGTGAGAGGTACATTTGTAGAAGAGGTACCTTTTCCTTCCTTTTCGTCCCTTAACCTCTTCCACAGGAGCAACCATCTCCATAAAGTTCTCTCCAGCTCCAGCTCTCTCTCTTGGTGCAACTTCCAGGTGATAAGTTTGACTTATCGCGCGATAATTTAAACTTTTCGTTTATGGCGTGATGAATTGACTAATTGTTGCGCGATATTTAATCAAAAGTAATTCAAACTTATCGCGCGATTTTATGTTTTAGTTTATTGCGCGATATCTGAATAATTATCGCGCTATATTTAATAAAAAAAATTGTCGGATGTCCTCTATGGATCACCGTATTGATACTTTCGGCTTTTAAAATATTGCAGATCTGATTGTAAATGAATTTTCTTTTTATTATCTTAGGACAGGAAGCAGGTCCTTACTCATATGGAGAGAGCTGAGATGGCAAAAGTAAGTTGATTGAGATATGTATTGTAGTGTGCGCTCGTTGTGCATTTTACTTGATGAAAGGTTGGAAAATACCAAATTGGTAACTGAGTTTGATTATTGTACAAGACGTTACCACTTTGGCACTTTTGACAGGCGGGAGTTTTATTTTGAGTTGTAGCGTTGCGAACCCTTTCACAGTAGGGCGCCGTGGGGGACGTTTGCTCAAGTCTGAGTTAATATCTCCAGTATTCATACAGATAAAGATATTATAGTTTTCCGAATGACAGACATTTACTAGTGAATCCCGGTTACGGTTGTTATGACATACGCCACTTCCAAATTCCCCATAATGCACCTTATTTGCCCCCCCCAAATTTTGCATGAGCATTGTTTCTATTTCTTTTGAGGCGGCTGTAATACCAAGGAGCCAGGAGAAATGAAAAACAAAGGTAATGCAAAATTTTGGGGGCCACATAGGATGCATTATGGGAAATGTGGAAGTTACGTATAACAAATAACCGAGAGGAAGGTTTGTAGACTGATGCAATTGGCTTTTATCAACTGGCGTGATTCAAAGTGACCCTTTCTTAATTACTGTCTCGTTACTCGATATCTTTTTAATCAGGCGTCGAGAGGCCCTCTACACAACGCTGCCACCAGTGGACAATACGAGACCGTCAAAATGCTTCTTGAAAGTGGTGAAGATGTGAATCAAAGAGATCAGGTTTTAGTCTCCTCCAGTTTATGTAATTTTGCGAAGTCTGAAGTTCGACTTCTCGCTTTCTTTTGGCTTGGGGATTCTTACTTTCTTTTCTATGTATCTAGAAAGTATACACGAGAGTGTCATATTACAGCTCACGATGTTGTAAATGGTTTCTACCCAAACGTTTTGATAAAAGAATAGATAATGAAATGAGATCTTGCGCTAGTGTTCCTTAAAGGCTACTTTTCACTAGCGATGGAATCGGAGTTGTAATCAGAATAGAACTTTACGATCTAGTGAAATCACCCTTCTGATTCCGTTTACGACGCCGTCACTTACGATCAAGTGAAAACTAGGTCGTCGGAGTCACAAGCAGAAGCAGAAGAACTAAGCCAATCACAAAGAGTGTGAACGTTATTGTGATTGGTTTACCCTTCCGCTTCTGCTTCTGACTCCGACAATGTGGTTTTCAGTTTATCGTAAGCGACAGAGTTTTTGAAGGAATCGGAAAAAAATTCCGATTCCGTCGTTCTTGAGACTTCGCTTACGATTCCGATTACGACTCCGTCGCTAGTGAAAACCAGCCTTGAATAGTGATTTATCCGGTGGATAAGGCTATCCACCTTTTCGACAACTGGGCCCAGGACTACAATTACTCGGGTGATCGTAAACTGTGAAGTTTTGGAGGAAATGTTGCTAGAACCAATTATGTGCTCAACATGAAATGTCTGAGGCTAAGCGCTGTAGAGAATTTATTTAGTTGTCGTTTTGTTTGTTTGTTGTAGTTGTTATCGTTGTTATTTTTTTACTTTCTTACGATAGTAACCTGAGGATGTTCATGGACGGTGTTTTCCTCATGAAAAGAAATCCGGTCTCTGAATTTAATAAAAGAATTGGTCTAGACTAACTACCAATTTCTGTGAGAAAGTTACCTGCAAACATTGCATTTGGGCTCTAAGTTTATTTTGCAAGTCCATCGTTATAACGGGACTAGCTGGCTTCTTTTAACGCTATCTAACTGCGTTGTTTTTCCTATTTTTGATAGTTCTTTCTGACTCCTCTTCATCTTGCCTGTTGGTATGGACAGGAGTCAGTTGTTAAACTTTTGTTGAAACATGGTGCGAACGTCAACGCTGAAGACAGGGTGAGTTAGTAAATGTTTTATAAATCAAACAATATATTGCCGTGAGAACATGAACGTCTACAGTCAACATAATAGACCAATTCCGGTATATTAAAATTCATACTTGGCTGCGAGGATTGGGGGAATAAAACAAAAGAAATCATCTTGAGGCTCAATAATGAATAATACATTTCCTTTGTTTTATTCCCCCAAGCCTCGCAGCCAAGTATGAATTTTAATATATCGAAAATGGTCTATATATACAATTTGCGATTTTCTTCCTGTTTCATCCCGTTTTTTGCCTATTCCCCCCACTACGGAGCCTGGTTTTACAATAAAGATCAATTTAAAAGATGGAGGTATACCCGCAAGAATACTGGTTCCGGCCACCTTAATGTAGGTTTCCTTGTGGTTTGTGGTAGTGGCTACCTTATGTAGACATGCCGTAAATGACCCAATAAACGTTCGGGGCGTCTTTTTAATTTTAGGGGTTCAAGCAGGGGTGTTTAAGAGATAGGAGGCGTTGATTCTCATAACTGTAACAAGCTCAACAAATCTTATATGCTTTGGGCTAAAATATCAAAAGAGTTTTAAAATAGCGGAATATCCACTCCATCGTTATTCTATCCTTACTTCAAATTTGACATTGAACAAGATGAAATACGCAAAGCCTCGTTTATCAAGCAAGAAAATGAATAGTTTAAATGAGTTTGCACCTTCTTGCCAATTCCTAGTGTTTTGGAGTCATTCTCATAGGGGTTATCTATTAGACAGGGGCTTCTAATACAATTTTAAGATCGTAGAGCCTGACTCGTCCCCAGTCGTCTCTAATCATTTTATCGGCGGTCATGGAACGGTCTCGGAAGACTATTACGGCACTTCTGCCCCCGCGCGCGTCTTCCACGCGCATCCGTCGTTAATAATTAAAATTAGGAGACAAAAGAGACCACTGAGGACAAGTCAGGCGTAGAAGGGGCGTTTATTTGATTAGAGGCGCATACTTGGAAGTGGGCGTTTATTACGTCATTTATGGTACCGTTAGTTAGAATATTCTCCTTGGTAAATGGCAAGTGGTAAGTAATACATATTACCCTACTTGTGATGTTTTTAGTTTCAACGTACACCTCTGCAAAAAGCTGAACGTCAAAACCACCACTGCATAGTGCTGTTGCTGCGGAAGAATGATGCCAGGCCAAGTCTTCATCAACCAGTAAGATATCAGATTGTATGTCGTTCTTGTCAGCCTTGTCTTTCAGTAGAAATTCTCTTATATTTTTTTGTATTCTTTGTTGCTAACGTGGAACATTACTGTAGGATCTATTGATTGTCGTATGAGCTTTAATCGTAGCTTATATCGTGGAGACCTTATATTTGTTCTTCGCTACACGAACATTATTTTTATTCCCTCGGTTACCCCCATCCGGAGATCACATTATAGTGAATTTACTGTGAGCTTACTGTAAACCAAACCCATTAATAGAGGACACCAGCAAAGGTCGCGTATGTGTCCGGTTAATACCGGTTTCATCGTACATATTATTTCTTAGTTATTAATGTCTATGGTTTTGGCGTTTCGTCTTACACACATGCGCTCTTTATAAAATGGTTATGATCACACTGAAGCTTATCTAATAATTATCTAATCCAGACCTGGTAAGAAAAAAATAATAATAGGGGAACCTTGTAAAAATGGAAAAATGCAATCCTTCCCTAACCTACCCACTAAACAATGTTGTCCCGCTGATCAAATGCAAGTCACCTCGGGAAACAATAAACACATCAACATTGGTTGGGAGGGTGGAGGAAGATCCGGCATTAGAGATAAGGAGAAGTTAGTGAGCCGCAAAAGCACAAACTAATAACGGTTGCTAATTTTAGGGGAAAAAAATCACTTTTCTGCTTTTAAATGGCTTGCCCTTTTGCCTCTGATGACGCCATATATTGTAGCGATGGTAACCAAACACCATCACATTTTGTGTAAAATGTGTATATTTGCTGTGGATCCCCGGTAATGTATTATCTGCAATAAGAATAGTTAAAAAGTAATGCCAAATGAATTCCTCTTGATCATTTTCGCTCATAAACATGATCATTTCTATTACAGGTCAGTCTAAAGAATCTCTCAAGAAAAGCTTTCGTGCAAGTGGATGAACGATCTGGATTTAATCTGCTCCAGGCGGCTGTCTTTGAGGAAAAATACAACATTGTTTTAGAAGCTAGTGGCTTTTTTTACAACTTTGTTGTAGAGATGGAACTTACAAAAACGGGAAAAAACGCCAAAGAATTTGTAGGAAAAACGGCAGTTGACTTCTTGTCACTTAGAAAGAGAACAAACCCATTTCATGTTGATATCGAAAGGATTTATGAAAAGTTGGCTGACGACAACAGCAGACTAACAAAGCTAGAGTGTGATACATGCAATGATGATGCGGAATTAGCAGTTGAACTTGTACTGAATGACGGTTCAGATGTTAATGTCTCAGGATCAGACAATGATTACACAGCTTTGCTGCAGGCGAGTCGTTCATCCTCAAGTGAGTTTATTGAGACCCTCATTGACCTTGGGGCCGACGTAAATGCCCAAATGAGAAAAAGCAAAGAAACACCACTCATTTTAGCAGCTGACTGGAACAACTACATGGCAGCAAGCTTAATTGTAAGGCATGGAGCTGATGTAAATGTCCATATTAGTAATGGGTTCACGCCACTGCACGTTTCAGTCAATAAAGGTCACGAAAACCTCATGAGATTGTTACTTAAACACAACGCAAAGGTAGATATTCAAAATACTAATGGACATACACCCCTTCACCAGTCATTCTTAAAAGGTAACGACAACCTCTGTAGACTGTTACTTGAACACAAGGCGTATGTAAATATTCAAGATAATCATGGCTACACACCCTTGCACTGGTGTGCCTTAAAGGGTAACGAAAACCCCTGTAGATTGTTACTTGAACACAACGCGGATGTAAATGTTCACGATAATGATGGATATACACCCTTGCACTGGAGTGCCAGAGAAGGTAACGAAAACATCTGTAGATTGTTACTTGAACACAACGCGGATGTAAATACTCAAGATGAAGGTGGATATACACCCTTGCACTGGTTTGTCTCAATAGGGAATGAAAACCTTTGTAGATTGTTACTTGAACACAACGCGGATGAAAATACTCAAGATAACGATGGATATACACCCTTGCACTGGAGTGCCAGAGAGGGTAACGAAAACATCTGTAGATTGTTACTTGAACACAACGCGGATGTAAATACTCAAGATGACTGTGGATATACGCCCTTGCACTGGTGTGCCTCAATAGGGAACGAAAAGCTCTGTAGATTGTTACTTGAGCACAACGCGGATGTAAATACTCAAGATGATGGTGGATATACACCGTTGCACTGGTGTGCCTCAATAGGGAAGAACGAAAACCTCTGTGGATTGTTACTTGAACACAACGCGGATGTAAATGCTCAAGATAAAGGTGGATCTACACCCTTGCACTGGTGTGCCTCAATAGGGAATGAAAAGCTCTGTAGATTCTTACTTGAACACAACGCGGATGTAAATACTCAAGATGACCGTGGATATACACCCTTGCACTGGTGTGCCTCAATTGGGAACGAAAACCTCTGTAGATTATTACTTGAACATAACGGTGATGAAAACACTCAAGATGGAGATGGATATACACTCTTGCACTTGTGTACCTTAGCTGGGAACGAAAACCTCTGTAGATTGTTACTTGAACGCAACGCGGATATAAATATTCAAGATAATTTTAGACATACACCCTTGCACTGGTGTGTCAGAGATAGTAACGAAAGCCTCTGTAGATTGTTACTTGAACACAACGCGGATGTAAATATTCAAGATTATCTTGGATATACTCCCTTGCACTGGTGTGCCTTAAAGGATAACAAAGACCTCTGTAGATTGTTACTTGAACACAACGCGGATGTAAATATTCAAGATTATTTTGGATATACACCCTTGAACATGTGTGCCAAAGAGGGTAATGAAAACCTCTGTAGATTGTTACTTGAACACAACGCAGATGTGAATACTCTAGATGAAGATGGATATACACCCTTGCACTGGTGTGCCTTAAGGGGAAGCGAAAACCTCTGCAGATTGTTACTTGAACGCAACGCGGATGTAAATACTCAAGATGACGGTGGATATACACCCTTGCACTGGTGTGCCTTAAAGGGTAACGAAGACCTCTGTAGATTGTTACTTGAACACAACGCGGATGTAAATATTCAAAATGATCGGGGATATACACCCTTGAACATGTGTGCTAAAGAGGGTAACGAAAACCTCTGTAGATTATTACTTGAACACAACGCGGATGTAAATACCGTAGATGAAGATGGATATACACCCTTGCACTGATGTGTCTTAAGGGGAAACGAAAATCACTACGCGCTATAGGTTTTAACACACAAACTTTATTCTAGAACTTCTACAACTGGTGAAGGGAAACAAGTGAACCGATGTGAAGTATAACGAAGTATAGCGAAGTACAGCGGTACTGAAAAATAACAATTAAACAAATACAAAGTCAAGATAAAACAACCTACAAACTGAACGAAAGCAATAAGGCAATCTAGAAATGCGGACGAAACAAACGAGATACTTACAAGACGATAGCGAGATAAGGACGAAAAACTAGGACGAGCAAAAACCCAAACATTAAACTGTAAACCGGACCAAGCGCAGCTAAACGAAGAACTGACGCGAAAAATTACAATAAAAGCTAAATATACGATATGTAGAAAAATCCTAACACGAAGGACAAAGCTACGCGGACAATGAAAAAACTAATGAACCAAACAACAGCACTAAAGGCGCGAACACGAAAATAACTAAGAACGCGGCGAACATGAAAATACTATAAAGGTAACGGAAAACATTCCTGGCGCTTACAACCTCTATAGATTATTACTTGAAAGCAACGCGGATGTAAATACTCAAGATGACGGTGGATATATACCCTAACCAGGGGGACTCGGCAACGACCTTTGATCTTGCCGCTTTTGGGCTTCCCATGATCGCCCCAGTTAAGAAATCTGTCAATCATTCGAGAACTGTAGCGAGCATGCGCGAAACGGGCTGTGAGCAACAAAAAGAAGAAGTTCGTCTTCGCAGCGAGTCGATAATGTGAAGTCAATTCGCTTTCGCTCCTGCCCTGTTAGTCATTGCTTTCTTTGCTGTAACTAATTTTTTTTTTTCCGCGGTAATGTGGAGCTTACGTTTCCCTTTCTTCTGGTCTTGCGTTTGTCATTACATGATGCATACATAAACATTGATCGTAAACAGTCATTGTTCCTCGATTCCCGACCCTTTGACTCACTTCACCTCTCTAGATGCAGGCTCTCGAGCTGTGTTTCGGTTTAGAAGACCCACAAGTCTAAAAGAAGGGCCAAACCTCCAATACGTATGTAGAAGAGTTTATAGTTTCAAGTGAAAGGCCCAAAATTGATTTTTCGTGATATTAAAGTGCGGTGGCTGTGAGACGAAGAGAAGAGTTGTTTACGCTTTTACTACACCTTTAAGGTGTTTCGATAAAGTGTTTCAGAGGCCATACCGATATTTTTCAATCGCCTTGAAAGTGGCCTTTTCCTTAACCGATCGCCATAAACTTTTCACCAGTAACTGGCTATGGATTGAAATTTTTGAAAATGTGGTTTTAAGTAAAATCGATATCACCATGAGAACAAAAAACAAAAAACTTTGAAATTGATAAAAGCCGAATTTGTGTGATCTAGACCAGCTACTGAAAATCCAACACTAGGAACTTAAAGTTTGGTGTTTAGCAAACAATCTCCGTAAGAAGTATAAAATTCTGTATGTTTGAATTCGACTAAAACGGAAATATATTTCAAACCTTAAATTTTCAATAGCCGTGATAGATTATTGAATATAAACGTTATAAATGACTTAAATTATTCTTAAGTAGCGTCAGAATGCTGCTTAATATCATATTTTGGTGTATTTTCGTTCTTGCGATCTTGAAAACTAATCCGTTTTCTCACCACCTGTATAAGTGCAACTTCATTCAAAATTTGGACTTTTAGCGCATTTTTGTATATCTCTGAAACGACTCGAACGAATTTAATGTATATAATAAGGTCTGAAACTTTCATTGAGATTAATTCACTGTAACATCGTAAAATTTCAAGACAAACCTATCCTACGAACCTGTCAAAAATCTACATTCACTGTTTTGACGTTATGCTAATTAAGTTTTCCAAAATAATGCGCACTATACATACCTCCATGACTAGTACATTTTAGTTGTAATTTATCGCATCTTTTGAATGTAAAACATTGACAATTACTCACACTGAAATGTACTAGTCATGGATACTTGTATTGACCGTATTAATTAGGAAAAATTGGCATAACGTCAAAACAGTGAACTTTGTAGCGCGGATTTTTGACCGGTTCGTAGGATAGGTTTGTCTTAAAATTTCAAGGTGTTGCATTGAATCAATCTTGATGAAAGTTTCAGACATGATTATATACATTCTGAAGATTATGTGAAGAGATTTAAAAAATTCTCTGTCAGTTTCAGCTGTCAAAGTAAACAAGTTTCAAGATGCTGCATAAATTTTGCGCATGAACTCACCTGTCAAATTTCGACCAATTAGAGCATTAAAATTGGACGTAGAACGTGACCAACGCGTGAACATGGTGAGAAAAGTCAAAAGCAACTGTCTTCCCTGCCTGTAGCAGCTGGCTGAATTTTTGCGTCCGAGGTCAGTTTGAGATCAAAATTTTAATTGTGCGGCACATAAACACAACATATTTCATATGAATTTTAAAAAAAGATTAAACTTGAGCCTGCGATCATTTGAAAACCAGTACCTTGTCAGCGGATAACTTCAAAAAATACTTGAACTCGATGGGTCGACACCTGAGCCCGCGATACGGTCAAGTGATACTGGTCAGCGGATACCTTGTTTTGACAGCTGTCAATTGATCACAACATTTATGTCCAATATGTGTATCAGTTTTCCTGTGCTCCGATCCCAAACTAGCTAGAAAGTATGAGATTGAACATTGATCGCGATCTAGTAAAACAATTAACTGGTCAGCGGACAGCTTCCAAATAAATCACTTCACCTCAATGAGTTGACACATGAGCCGGCGATATGGTCATGGGAATACTGGTCAGTGGCTATCCTGTTTTGACAGCTGTCAATTGACCATATTGTGAATGTCCACTGTAAAAGATATAAAAGATCTTTTATAGATCCGATATGCTGTAATCTTGCATGGTTCTGTCCATGTTTTTGAGGTTGGTTTTGGTCAATTCTTTATTTGCTCTGCGAGACATCAACTTGACACTTGGACTCTTACCCCCCAGAAGACACGTGGTATGGCGTGATTCTGTGGGTGTTGAGAGTTGTGGGTCAGGGCTTAAAATCCGAGTGCGCGGATATTTTTCATCAGAGCTTTCTCTGGTTGTTGTGCCATACTGACGAGCGCCAAAAAGGGCGAAACAGCTGTCTATGGCTACAATAGACCTATTCGGCTAACTCAGTGTTCTACCCAATTCAAACCCTTAGGGAATAAAACGTTTTGTTCCAGGAATTTCCATATCATTTAAATGTGAATGCCACATTATAATGCAAATACAATACACAAAGAATTTTATCCCCGGGAGATTTGAATTGGGTACAACATTGAGTTAGCCGAATAGGTCTATCCCGCTCTGTTTTGAGTTCTTTCGGTGTCGTGTTGCTGTCTTGCAGAGTTAATTTTCACGTAGTACGATCAGCATTGCAGTATTCTTTTTGCAGAATTTAATATGTCTACATTATTATTTTTGCTTATCAGGTCTTTATAGATCCTACGTTCTTCAGCATGTTCGTTTGCGGTCCTTTGCTTCCTTTGTGGTTAACGTTTTTACTTAATTCACGTATGGCTGATGTAAGACTCATACTAATATACAGTGTGCTCATAGCTTATGTTTAGGATAAGGAAGAGAGTCTTAATACCACTGTAAGTGAAAAAATATAAGAGATGGAGCAAGCTGGTCGAGTCGCTCGAAAATTCACAAAACTTATAAATAACTGAACTTGCCGAGTTGCCGAATCACGATAAGTGAAGTCACCCATGATCTGTTCAAACGTCACGCCCCCTGATGTCCAAAAATTCCATTGAAAAAGTTCATGAAAACCTTTTCTTGACGTGTGGAAGCGGGAAAACTTGAAACCGAGCAAAAACTCATCGTCCGTCCATGTCTGCATTCTCCCCCATATTTGTTTTGAAGGAAAATTGGTACATAGTCTCACTCGGCCAAATTTCTTCACTGGGCGATCATGTAAACTTGGTTCCAGACCTCGCTACCAGCCCCCTGACCCTAACACTGGTGTGCCTAGAAGGGTAACGAAAACCTCTCTAGATTGTTACTTGGACACAACGCGGATGTAAACATTCAAGATAATCTTGGTTCGTAAAATCCAACTAGTAGTCTGTTATCAATGCTGCGTTCTGCTACTACTAGGCTATATGTTATAGCCCACTAGTAGCGAAAAGCGCCGGCCAGAAGGAAGGTGTCTCCAAGGAATTCTGTGGTACAGTCCGCCTGCCAGTATGACGTCACGTCTCGCGTCAGTGACTTTCAAAATGGCGAGCAAAGTGTTCGTCGAAGAGACGGATAAAAATTTCGATTTTATCATGGAAATACCGTTCCGATTTCGTGGATTTGGAGATTTTAAGGTTTCTATTGTCATAGAAAACTAGATTTAAGTACTTTTTTGGAATGAAATGTCCAGTGGTGTAATACATTTTAAAGATTCCTTTCTATCGTCGAGCAAATTTTACGGGCAATCATACCGACTTGTCACACTTTTGAGGGCCAGTGCACAGCAAGATTGTGGAGTTTAGACACAGCAATAGGAGGTTAATAATATTGATGATTAAGACGATGTAAAAAAGGCAAGTTTAACTTTCGCCAGTGGGTCACTGGTGGGTGTTGGGTGTAAATTAGTACAGTTTGTGGTGTACTGTGTGTGTTTATCATGTCAACTAACATTGAAAAAAATTCAGCTGATTGAGAGGAGGGACATGTCTTGACAGCTTATGGTTTTTATCTGGTCGTAAGCCTGGCCAGTATGCAGATCAAGCGCTTTTGAAATCCCTTTTCCAAAATAAAACTCCGGGCTTAAGCTTAAAATATATATTGATCCAAGTGCATGACCAGCGGGGTCTGCAGTAAGAATAAAGAAAAAAAGGCCAAAAGGAAAAAAAAAATGTTAAAAAAAATAGACCAATTAGGGGAAAAAAAAGTACAAAGAAGCGTCGCGGGAAGTCGAACCCGGTTTACCTGCACGTGCAAGAAACTCCTGCACCACAGTAACACACATGACTTGGAAATTAAT